CATAGAAACAAAGTCTACATGAGGCCCCTGCCCATCCGCCCTGGCTTTGACAGGGAGGCACAACTTACATCACATGAACACCTGACTGGTTTTATCATTTTAAACTCCTCATTCTCTTACACTCTGTTCCGTTTGTTGAGATTAAATAGTACTTTGCTTCGCTGAAGCTGTTTGCACTCTGTTTGACACTGGTCACAGACCCCAGAAGAGGTCTGCAGGGGAATCATGTACCATGGTTCAAGGACCTGTGCCCTCTAACACAACCAGTATAAAGGCTGCCAAACCCAGGCCTCTTCTAAGGGTGAGAGACTGAGAAATGAGAGAGCAGAGAGAAAGGGCATTCAGTACTCAACATCCTTGAACATCCTGCAGCAGTTCAGGTTTCTAAATGCAGTGCAGGGATAGCAAGCTTTGGAAGTCTTTGATTCACCCAGATTTCAGAAAGGAACTTGCCAGTGACTCAGTGGGAAAGACAACCTTAGGCTCAAAGATCTCAGAGAAAACTGGGGGTATGGAAAGGAGGTCTGTGTGCTCATTGTCTGCAGAAAGAATGGACCTGAGACACGTGGTCCTTTTCAGCCCCACATGCCAATGAGTACATAGCACCGCCTTAGACAATACCAAAACTTTGGTCTGTATCCTGAAGTTGATCCATGTCCCTCAAAGGGAGACAACAGAGAGCCCCCATGAAGGATGCCAGATAGTGAAAAATACATAACATGTGGAAAACAGGGGGAAGGTTAAAAAATGAGTTATCCAGCCTCATTCATTTCCCTCTTTCCAACCACATCATTGGTTTAAACATTTTTCTGCTGGGGGTCCCCATCTGCTCACCCTCCTTATTTCCACAGGATCACAGAATGGTCTGGGTTAGAAATGACCTTAAGATCGTCCAGTTCCAACCCCCTGCCATGGGCAGGGACACCTCACACTAAACCATCTCACCCAAGGCTCTCTCCAACCTGGCCTTGAACACTGCCAGGGATGGAGCATTCACAACCTCCCTGGGCAGCCCATTCCAGTGCCTCACCACCCTTATAGTAAAGAACTTCCTCATTATATCTAACCTGAACCTCCCGTGTTCAGGTTGCATCTGTTTGAGAGGGGTGCTTCTACCCAGCAGCATCGTTGCAGAGCATGGCAGCAGGGCAGCCCTGCCGCAGACCCTCACGAACTGAAAAGTGAGATGGGATGCCCAGGTAATGGGTTGCCCAGGGAAGTTGTGAATGCTCCATCCCTGGCAATGTTCAAGGTGAGGTTGGACAGAGCCTTAGGTGGCATGGTTTAAGTGTGAGGTGTCCCTGCCCATGGCAGGGGATTGGAACTGGATGATCTTAAGGTCCTTTCCAACCCTAACTATTCTATGATTCTATGTGCTGTTTGTGCGCATGCAGAAGCTGCAGGATGGCTGTCTGAGAGCACAGGAACTGCTGCCATCTCTATACCATACTTGTATTAATGACAATAAATACAACAGCAGAAGGCTGAGTCGATCAGAACACACAGCCCCATCGACGGTGCCTGTCTGGCTGTAGGCTGCTGCCCTCCTACGGCAAAATGGGACAGCGGCAGCACCTCCAGAGCTGCTTTCTGTATTAGAGATGAGCCACGTTCAGTTGCTGGTACCAGACACCCGGTTTGGCAGCCCAGTGTCTGTCTGAAGCGGAAAATCAGCACCCTGGGGCACTCAACCCTTCAGTCTTGTGAGGGAAGCCTTGGTTGGAAAAGACTTTGTGGCCCTCAAGGAGCAAATTCCATCCTGAGCCTGCGTGTGACACTGCTCGTGCTGAACAGTTAATGTCCTGTGAGAGGGGGCAGATCCAGGGGTCTTCCCCTTAGTGACAGGGGTTTGTTGCCATTGTGTTTTTTTCCTCATGTCTTTCTCTTGGCAACGCAGTTGTTGACTTGGAAACTCAGTGTTTGAAATAAGTTTGAGTGTTTCTGCTGAATCCTGCATCTGTTACCATGTGAAGTTAACCCTCAGCACAGGTACCAGGGGCATGTTCCCCTGTGAGCATCCTTTCAGGGAGCTCCTCAGCTGCTTGCCTTCCTTATTACCCTGGGTCACACAGCTGCCACTGGTAGCACTGCTTCTTCCCCACATATTCCGTACACATCTTCCTTCTCATCCTAGAAAGTCCTCTGAATAAGTCATGTCCTGACAGAGGAAATGATAGGTGGGCCAGTGAAAACCCAGGAAGTTCAACAAGGACAAGTGCAAGGGCCTGTACCTGGATCAGGGCAATTCCAGTGCAACTACAGCTGGCAAAGACTGGATGGAGAGCAGCCCTGAGGAGATGGACTTGGCGGTATTGGTTGACAAGAAGCTCAACAGTATGTGCCTGAGCACACCATACGTAAGTGTATGTGAACATACAGAAACCAAACTGTATCTGGGCTGCATCAAAAGGAGTGCGAGCAGCAGGTCAAGGGAGGGGATTCTCCCCCTCCACCCTGCCCTGTTGAGATTGCCCCCTGCAGTCCTGATCCAGCTCTGGGGCAACAGCACAAGAGGGACATGGAGCTGTTAGAGAGAGTCCAGAGGAGGCCATGGAGACGCTGCAAGGGCTGGAGCAGCTCTGCTCTGGAGCCAGGCTGAAAGAGCTGGGCTGGTTCAGCCTGGACAAGAGAAGGCTCCTTAAGGGGAGACCTCAGAACAGCTCCAGTGCCTAAAGGGGCTACAGGAAACCTGGAGAGGGGCTTTGGACAAGGGCCTGAAGGGACAGGACAAGGGGAATGGCTTTAACCTGACAGAGGGGAAACTGAGATGAGCTCTTAGGCAGAAGCTCTTCCCTGTGAGGGTGCTGAGGCACTGGCACAGGGTGCCCAGAGAAGCTGTGGCTGCCCCATCCCTGGCAGTGTTCAAGGTCAGGTTGGACACAGGGGCTTGGAGCAGAGTGGCTCAGTGATGGCTGAAGCTGACCAAGTAACTGAAAATCAAACGGTTTTTATTACCAAGGAGATTTTTCTGCTCTGAAAGCCTGAATTTTTATGTGCTCAGCTTAAACACTCCCTCACACCAGCTGTGAGAAACCCAGACCTCTGGGAAGAACACGGAGGGTTGAGTTCAGACAACCCACAGCTGCTGGCAACTGCTGAAACATGCACCTTACTTACTCACAGATAACCTGCATCACGGCTCTCAGAGTTTACTGTTTCAGTTAATACGTTTCACAAAGAGTACCACCAGCAATCCTTCTTCTGGGCCGCACTCTGAGATGCAACTCCAGCGTCCCTGGGCTTGTACAGTGCCTGAGAGAGACTGAAGTGTTTTACTGTGATTCGCAGAAAACTCCAGTAACTCACCAGCAAGAGTTTCAAGCTGACAAGCAGGTATTCTTCATTGCAGGGCAGGAGACACCAGGGATAGCTCCTCCTAAGGTGTATCCCCATATTGCTACACAGGCCATCCCTATATGGTCACTGGGCATACATACATATTCATGAGGCTACACATGAATGACATAATTTTCCAGAAAGTTCCCCACATGCATACACAAATGTGGTGGTGGTCTCTGAGGGTCGTTTACTTCTCCCAACAATTTTCATCACTTCTGGCAGTCTTTGAAGAACCAGCTTAAATAACATTACAGACATAGCAACCATCCTGGCCTTCTATTTATCAGTGAGTTAAACTGCTCCCACCCTGGACATCTGCTAGTCCCAGAGACTCCCCATCCCCAGGTCCTGTTTTTCTATTCTACTTTTCTTACACTTTCTGTACTAAGGTCCTAAGGACCTAAAACTATGTCAACTACCTTCAAGCACCACAGTTATTTTCCATTACAAAGCCATCAAATTTAACATTACTTAGAACTGATTATATTTTGTGCTTTCCTGCCTCCTTGTCTCAGTTGTAAGTTGTAGGAGCAGAAAAGTAAGAATTCAATTTTGCAGAAGTACTCCTTGGCTGTGAAATCTGCGTGTTGATCTGATAAGGAGCAAACTATGAACAGGTTGCAATTTGAAAGCTTCAGAATTCAAGAGCACGAGAGTCCAGAGTAATGGTTTGATCTTTCAGGAGATGGACAAGAGGAAATGGCCTCAAGCTGCACCAGGGCAGGTTTAGATGGAGCTGAGAAACAGTTCCTGCCCCAGAGGGTGCTCAGGCATTGGAACAGGCTGCCCAGGGCAGGGCTGGAGTCACTGTCCCTGCAAGTGTTCACACACTGTGCTGTGGGTTAGTGGTGGCCTTGGCAGTGCCGGGGAACGGTTGGACTGGATGAGTTTAAAGGTCTTTGTCAACCAAGTTGATTCTATGATTAAGTCAACGGGGGTCTTCCTGCTGCTACTGCGGTCAGAGAAAGAGGTAAATGCCTTTGAAAGAAAACAGCTGGATGAACCTCTCCAGTGGTGAATCAGACCAAACAAGAACAGGTAGTTAATGGGAAAGACTAAACACACATTGCAATGTCTTTAACCAACAGATTTCCATGGAAGGATAAAATGAGGGGGGGTATTTCTCCCCAAACAAGCACCACACACCCCACATCCCCCCCCCCCCCCCCCCAAGACCAGAATTCACAGCACCTGCACCATAGCTTTATCTGCCCAAACTACCACATGCAACGAGTAACAAGAACTTTTGCAGACTTACAATGCATATGTATATAACAGAGGTATGTGAGCTATAATACACACGTGGTGTGTATATATATATATATATATATATATTACCAATGGAGGTGCTGTCCTTTCTCGGGGTCCATGACAGGCGGAGCGATCCCCCATGCACCCAAAACTGCAACAAAGCCATGCCGGCTTTAACCCCCCGTTCTTTCTTTAACCCGCCATTCTGGTTTAAGAGCTTATGTCCCGGGGCTCGCGGACACCCGCAACAGGGCCTCATAAACCCCTCCCTGAGAGCAACACCTCGCTCCTCCACCATGGCCTGCAGCTCCTCCGCTCCGCATGGCGGCGCGGCGCCTTCCCCTTGCGGCTGAAGGACTACAGTACCCATCATGCCCCGCGGGAGGCCTGACCGAAAGGGATCTCCACGGCGCTTGCGCGGTGAAGGACGGTGGGTGTTGGCGCCGCCATGAGGGGAGCTTGGTCTGGGGCCGCGCTCCTCGGCCGGGCCCTGCGGCCTCCGGGTGCGCGCAGAGGTGAGAGCCAGCCCCGGGGCACGGAGTGAGAGCGGCAGGAGCGGGCAGGTTGTAGTGGGGGGTTGTAGTGGAGGCCGCGCAAGGTGGGTGTCGGGCTGTGCTCGCTGCGGGAGAGTGATCTTGGGGCCGGTCCCTGAGGTGATGTGTGAGGAAGGGCACTGTAGTAAGGCCCAGGCAGGGGTGAGTTGCATGGGCAAGAGCAGCGGGTTGAGTAGCTCATGGGGACTGAGCTACTTTGTACTATTTAAACTGGCAGAGAGTAGATTTAGATGAGAGATTAAGAAGAGGATCTTCCCTGTGAGGGTGCTGAGGCGCTGGCACAGGGTGCCCAGAGAAGCTGTGGCTGCCCCATCCCTGGCAGTGTTCAAGGCCAGGTTGGACACAGGGACTTGGAGCAACCTGCTCTAGTGGAAGGTGTCCCTGCCCATGGCAGGGGGTTGGGACCGGATGAGCTTTAAGGTCCTTTCTAACCCAGACCAGTCTGTGATTCTGTGAAGATAGATACATGAGTCCTAGCTGGTGTAGATATCCTATGGAAAAAGGGATTGGTGGTTTTTTACATAACCCAGCAATCAAAAGAACCCAGCTTTTTATTGCAACATCTGTGCATCTTTGCCATGATGCACGGCATTAAAATGAGATACGGCATGATAACACAATCTGGCTAAGTTTAAAGTACATGTTGTCTCTCCCAGGTTTTGCTGCCACGCTGGTTAGGAACTCATACGATGTCAGAAATGTTGAAATCACTCCCCCGGAGCAGAGGAAGGTGACTTTTGATACTCACGCTTTAGTGCAGGATCTGGAAGCCCATGGTAAGTGTTACTAGACAGATCATTAAAAGGAAGACTTTTAGGTTCAATACTGTAACTTTTGAGTGCTCTGTGTTTTCCCAAAGTACCAAACTTGCTGTTACAAGGTGATTTGGCAGCCCATTGAGGAGGATGGTGAAGGAGCCACCTGACCCTGATGCTTCTGTAACCGTACAAATAACTATTACATTAGATTTACCTTATCTGTATCTATAGGCAAGTTTAGATAGTGTTTTCCAGCTGGAACATGATACCCTTATCAAATGTAAAGTAACAATAACACTTAACTGTTTTCTAGCAAAAATGAAGCTTTTTTTGCAGGCGGAAAGAGGTTAGCCTGCCCCTTTACTCTGCTCTCGTGAGACCCCACTTGGAGCACTGTGTGCAGTTCTGGTGTCCTCAGCATAAGAAGGACATGGAACTGTTGGAATAAGTCCAGAGGAGGCCATGAGGATGATCGGGGTGGGAGCAGCTCCTGTAGGAAGACAATGGAAGTTCATTATAAAGTTAATTTTCGCTGAATTACTTTTATAGTACATGAACAGTTCAGCATTATACAGCTGCATGCAGAGGGAACTTCAGTATGTAAAATGTTAACGTGCTTTTAGATGTTGGCAGCATTAAGTCTGTGGTTTTTGTAGTTAAAAGTCACAGTGACTGGCTCCTCACTGTCATTTCTCAGTGATTGTGTGACTTCTCATTTACCACTGCAGTTGGGTATAGCACTTGAGTGTCCCCGTTCATTATGTATGGCTTGCTCTTGTTTCCATCCAGCTTTCTAATACTACCTTAACTTGCCGCCTTCCAACTGTCTTCCAGGCTTTGGGAAGGAACAAGCAGAGACCATCTTGAGGGCGTTAGTAAACCTGTCGAATGTCAGCTTGGACACAGTCTATAAGGATATGGTTACCCAGACTCAGCAGGTAAAAGATACTCGATGGTGTACATGCACCATTATACAGGCACAGTGTTGTGTAAGGTCTCATGGGTGGATATTTGAAAGGCAAGTGAGCATCTCTGTAGTACTATAAAGACTTCACTGAGGTAGGTTTTCCCAAGTTTCAGGGTGGTGGTAAGAATAGTAATACCTCATAGAATACCAGGTTGGAAGGGACCACAAGGATCATCTGGTCCAAAAGTCTTTAAACCCTTTCATCTCACAGGAGTGTTTTCCAAATGCAGCCACGAATCAGCAGTGTAATGCAGAGTTTGCTTCTTTTGCTGCTGCAAAGCTCAGAGGTGAAGCCAGACTCTTCATTAGGCTTTCCAACGGGTTAGGGCAGAAGAAAGGCTCAAGAAGGGGTTCCCGAAGAGAACAGGAGAGAGAACAGGATTACCTAAAATAGCAGAAAATTGGCAGTGGCTTTACTGAACGGCATGGAATTGAAGTGTCTCCTTCCCTTAGATACTGGGGTTCGTGGACATACCTGGAGGCAGTGAGTCAGTTCTGTAGCACAGCTGTTTTTTCTGCTGATAACAGAGGTGGTGACAAGTTTCAGTTGAACAAATTGCCAAAATGAAATGAACTTCAGTTTTTCTTGAGGGCTGCACATCTGAGTCAAGCTCTGATGCATGGTGATGGTTTTAATAATGACTGAGGAAGGCTGTGCCGTTCTTCTTCGGGGGCTTAATGCAGTTAAGCATTGCTGTTTCATTTAAACTGCTGAGCCATACATCCAAGAGTTTTATCTTGATAATTCATTTTTAATACAAGTTATCTGTCCTCATTTTTCTGTAAGCCTGAGAAGACAACAAGAACTTGTGTGTCTTTTTTGGTTTTCCTCATCAAAATGGAAACTTTTAGGACACCCTGTTATGTGTAGAGGAAGTCAGGATCCTCAATATAACTTGCATGGAATTGTGTTACGCAGAAACACTTGATTTTTGTAGTGCAGTCAGTGTTGAGACTGAATGTCTTAAGATGGGATGAAGCAAATGAGCTCCTCTGTGTACACGCAGCTGAAGATTTCCCAGGAAATGTAAAAACTTCCTTGTGTTCAAGTCAGACATCAGTGGAAGCTGGATCAGGGCATACTTTCATACAATCCACAGAATGGTTTGGGTTGGAAGGGGCTTTAAAGCTCATCAGTTCCAACCCCTGCCACATGCAGGGACATCTTCCACTAGACCAGGCTACTCCAAGCCCCGTCCAACCTGGCCTTAAACAGGGATGTCAGGGATGGGGAGCCACAGATTCTCTGGGCAAAAACATAATAATGAATTTAGTTAAGTGTAGGATCTGAGAAATGCTGTTTGCTTCAGGTCTGAGTGAGAACTGTTCATTATTCTGGTGCTCAGCTTTAACAGCAGAGTCCCACAGTAATGTGTTATTTTCCATGCTAAATAGCAGGTAACTTCCTTACAGTAGCTAAAGGAATGTTGCTTTCAGGAGTCTCAATTACAAAGTTTCTTTATTTTCATGGGGTTTTTACTGTAGTTGATAAAGAGCAGTTGAGTCTGAACTTGTTGGTCCAAACATTAGTAAGAGTTTTTTCAGTGCCTTTCAGCAATGTTTAACTGTTGGCTGTCAGGCTTTAAGGCTGGGTGGACAGCATGGTACTTGGACTAATCATAGGATCACAGACTGGTTTGGATTGGAAAGGACCTTAAGATCATCCAGCTCCAATCTCCTGCCATGGGCAGGGACACCTTCCACTAGAGCAGGTTGCTCCAAGCCCTGTCCAACGTGGCCTTGAACACCACCAGGATGGAGCATTCACAGCTTCCCTGGGCCACCCCTTCCAGTGCCTCAGCACCCTAACAGTAAAGAACTTCTTCCTTATATCCAGTCTAAACTTCCCCTGTTTAAGTTTGAACCCATTACCCCCTCTGATGTTTTTGCTTAAGTTCAGAGTCAGTGTAATAAAGCAACAGAAAAAAGCACAAATCCTCTAAGGTCTTTTTAACAAATTGCAACAATGAAGTTCTGTGTTTCTGTCACTTTCTTGGTGGTCTCCCCAGTTTTGTGCTTTAGAGCAGCTAGTTTCATCATTTCAAACCTCAAAGTCTTTACTTGGTAGAAAGTGTGGAACTTAATGACATGTTTTATTGTTTCTAAGGAAATAACTTTGAAGCAGATAATGGCACATCTGGACTCCATTCGAAAAGACATGGTAATCCTGGAGAAAAGTGAATTTGCAAACTTGAGAGCTGAGAATGAGGTACTAAAGAATACTTTTAGCAGTTAAATTGTGATGTTGGGTTGTACCTGTTGAACATGTTTGTGGAAAAAAAATATGAATGTAAAAGTAATTTTGGATACTTCTGTCATAGAATCACAGAATGGTTTGGGTTGGAAAGGACCTTAAAGCTCAGGCAGTTCCAACCCCCTGCCACGGGCAGGGACGCCTTCCACTAGAGCAGGTTGCTCCAAGCCCCTGTGTCCAACCTGGCCTTGAACACTGCCAGGGATGGGGCAGCCACAGCTTCTCTGGGCACCCTGTGCCAGCGCCTCAGCACCCTCACAGGGAAGAGCTTCTGCCTAAGAGCTCATCTCAGTCTCCCCTCTGTCAGGTTAAAGCCATTCCCCTTGTCCTGTCCCTGCAGGCCCTTGTCCAAAGCCCCTCTCCAGGTTTCCTGGAGCCCCTTTAGGCACTGGAGCTGCTCTAAGGTCTCCCCTTAAGGAGCCTTCTCTTCTCCAGGCTGACCCAGCCCAGCTCTCTCAGCCTGGCTCCAGAGCAGAGCTGATGCAGCACCTCTGTGTTGAACTGTTGTAGATTACAGCTTCTGTGATCACATAAAACATATTTCATGTGATCAGACTTGCTCAGTTTTCTTAGAGTCATCTCCTGTAATTTTATTTCAGAGTGGTTCTGATACAGTCTTGTCCCCAGTAACCACACAATGCAAGGCGAGCAGTTGGTCATTTCTCTGCAGGGTTTAATTAAACTGGTGATTGAAATATATTTTGATTCTGCTTGATGGCATTTTGGTATTTTCCTGCCATCTTTAATCACAGAATAACAAGATCGTCATCATTACAAAAGAATCCCTTTATTTTGATCACAATTCCCAGCAAATTATATATGGCTGTAGGAACTGAATACAGCAGTTAGGATGTTTAGTCAAGAACAAATTGTCCCATTGGGAGACAAATCGTGGCAGAGTAAAAGCATGCACGTGGTGGCAGCGCTCCCACGAGTGATGGGCTTGGTCAGCAGGGTTCTGGGCCTGTCAAATCATTTGTGTTCTTTTTTTCTCCTCTGCACTTAGAAAATGAAAATTGAATTAGACCAAGTCAAACAGCAGCTGTTGGTAAGTGAACTGCAAGTACCTCCACACTCCTTTTAGGGAGAATAAATAGGGAGCTTCATAATCTTTATTTTCTTTCCAGAATGAAACGGGCAAGATCCGAACTGACAGCAAGCTGGACATCAACCTGGAGAGGAGCAGAGTGACAGATATGGTAAGCTGGTCTGTGAGCATACCCTGACCACTGCTGTGTCCTGTTTTCTGTTGGTACAATTGTAATTTCTCTGTTATCCCACAGTTCACAGATCAGGAAAGGAAGCTGATGGAAGTGACCACAGAGTTTCACAAAAAAGTAAGTGTTGAGCTAGGTTTCTTTCATCACAGAATCCCAGACTGGTTTTTGTTGAAAGGGACCTTAAAGCTCATCCAACTCCAGCCCCCTGCCATGGGCAGGAACACCTTCCACTAGAGCAGGTTGCTCCAAGACCCATCCATCCTGCCCTTGAACACTTCCAGGCCTCTCAGGCTGAAGTCTGAGAGCCTGAGGGTGGACATGTCCCTTCTTCAGCATCTGCTTTAATTTCTGGATATGGCTTGTGAATGCTTAAACCTTTTTGTGCAAGAATGTTCTGTATGTGCTGTGGAATGCCTCCTTCAGGAGGCACTGGCATAGCAGAGATAAAAGTGTACGACCCACGTTGGGGTGTTTTTGCTCTCTCTCCCTTCAATATTCTTCCTGGATTGTACTAAACATTGTTCTGTGTTTTCTAAGGTCTCTTATCAGTTACATATTTTATTCCAGTTATAGGCTGGAAGTTTATGTCTGTCTTGTTGCCTGTAGCATGGTGCTCTTGTTTGGCTTTACGAAGCTGAATGGGCTAGAGATTGTTGTTAAACACATGCTCTCTTTTCGTGTTTCAGGATGCCAGTACCAACAGTGTTATCTCAGAAATCAGTAATAAGATTGACACTGAAATAGCTTCCTTAAAAACACTCATGGAGTCGAATAAACTTGACACAATACGTTATTTGGCAGGTATGTGATGGGTGGTGGGGGTACCAGTAGTTTGGATGTATAAAATCTTGCTCAAGAGTATTTGCTTGAACTGAAGGAGTCAGTTGTATAGCAGTAGACAGCTGGGATTGAGCTGGGGAGATCCTTCCAACTGGAAGAGATGGGACACAGAGCACAGAAGGGGTGGGGGCATGCAGACTGCTGCTGCTTTGGACTGGGATTGTGCCCAGAACTGGGATTAGGAGGAATATGAACATGATTAACAAATAACAGCCTGAATACCTTGGTAGTCTGACAGTACCTCAGCTTGCTGCAAGGCTACAAAACTTCTCCTGAGGTGATGCAAGTTATGCTGGAAGTGAGCTGTCATTCAGGGCTGAACTGGGAGTGACAGCTCTGCCTCCAGACCCAGAGTGCTTTCCCCTGCCAGCAGAACAAACTTCTGTCAACATACACATAACCAGTGACATTTGTATTGTGTTGGAGCTGGATTAAAAGGGGATAAGGCTTTATATTTAGAAGTGAGAACAAGTTCAAATGGAAACATAATTAGCTTTCTTCTAATGCTAACTGAAACAGCAGCTTAACCAGTGTGAAACACAACTCCTCAGGCTTCAGACATGCAGCCTGGGTATCATAGAATGGTTTGGGTTGGAAACGATCTTAAGCTCATTTGATTACAGACCCCTGCCACAGGCAGGGACAGCTTCCACTAGAGCAGGTTCCTTCAAGCCCTATACAGCCTGGTCTTGAAGAGTGCCGGGAATAGGGCAGCCACAGCTTCCCTAGGCACCCTGTGCCAGTGCCTCAGCACCCTCACAGGAAAGAGCTTCTTCCTTACATCTAACCTGAACTTCCCCTGTTTAAGTTTAAACCGAGTGACTGAATCAAGCATCCAGTTAATTATTTTCTTCCTCTATTTTTTTAACAGCTTCAGTGTTCACTTGCTTAGCGATAGCACTGGGATTTTACAGGTTCTGGAAATAGATCCACGTGGAATGACTGCATCACAGAGATGGAGAAAAGGCTACACAGGCAGCATCAGTTGGACAGTGGTGTTTGCACTGTAGATAACCTTGGTACCTTTTTGTTTTGATACCCTTACTGTGCACTATTTGCTGAATATGTAATGCTAAAGATCAAAGTAATTGGGAGGGAAGTAGCCAAACAGGAATACTACATTGTCCTTCATGGAATACTGTATTTATTTCCAAGGATGATTTATGCTAAAGCAGAAAGTGTTTCCTGATGTGTTTTAGGATTAATTTTGTTTTCTTTTTGGAACATTCTCAGTGGAACATTCTCACTCTCACCTCCTTTTGGAATGGAAATATTAAACATTTGATCTGCCCTTGAACTGAGAATACCTTTCCCGTGTTAGTATTCCCAATGTGGGAACACTAATGCCAGATTCCACAGATCTTCTCTGATCCAAATATAAATTGGATTTTTGCCTTCAATCTGTTCCTCTCTTCTGACAGATTGGAGCCTGGCCTTTTGGGGTTTTTAATATATGTATATATATGTATATACAAACCCACACTGCAGCGGCCTTTACTAGAGAATCCCTGTTTTTTTCTTGAGAGCTGGTTTACATATATTTCAAATCTCATGTAGAACTAAAATGCCTTCTTAGATTCGGGGTTTCTTTAGCATCTCTTGCAATTTCCGTAGCCCCAGAGGTCAACAGAATGGGAGAACTTCTCTGTGTCTTTCCAGGGGGAAACCCCTCTGCTCACAGCAGCCCTGGGGCAGATTAAGTGCTCTTAACTCCTCCCTTCAGGTAGTACAGAGTATTTCCAATAAACCCTGGTGTATGTTCTGGGCATAGGATCTGGCTTGTAACACAGAAATACTCAGCATCCCAGTGGTGTCCTCCTCCTCCCATCTCCCCTGGACTGTCCTGTGATCCCGTGGGATGTACTGCCTCTCCTGCCTCCTGGTGATGATTCCTCTGCCTCCTACAAGGACTTCACACCTCTCACTGCAGAGCTGGGGCATAGCTGGTGGCTGCCTTCCAAAACTGAAGCGTGCAAGTTGGGTTGGAAAGGAATTCTATGGGATAGAAATCCCAGAGATTTTGCATCTGGAGTGCAAATGCATGGACTTGGTTTGGGTCTGCTAATAAAATAGGATTTAAAAACCAGCATTCCTGGATTGCATTTTTAAGAGTAGGTCCTTTATGGGTTACTCAGTGTGTAGTGATTAGTGGCAATTCATTTTTATTGCAGTATTGGTCTGCAGTTTAACTCACTGGTACCCTACCAAGGATTCTCTGCTGTGCATTAAATTATTTATCATCTTCAGTTAAGAAAATAAAATCAGTTTCTTATATTTGCTGGCTGAGACACCTGAATACAGGTAAGCAGGCTGTGAAAATGGGGCTTTTACAACAGGCACAGTGCTCATACAGTGGGAGTTGAAGCTGCTTTTGTTGTTTTGTGTTTGACAAGTAGGCAAATGTACAAATCCATCTTCTCATAAGCTATGACCATTTCTGAGGTTCTCTGGATCACAGAATTGTTTAGGTTGGAAAAGGGCTTTAAGATCATAAGTCCAGCACTAAATTACGTCCCCAAGCACCACATCTACATGTCTCTGAAATACCTCAAGAGATGGTGACTCCAGCACTGCCCTGGGCAGCCTGTTCCAATGCCTGACAACCCCTTCTGGGAAGAAGTTGCTCCTAATCTCCAGTCTAAACCTCCCCTGGTGCAGCTTGAGGCCGTTTCCTCTTGTCCTGTTACTTGTTACTCGAGAGAAGAGCCCAGCCCACTCCTGGCTCCATCCTCCTGTCAGGCAATTGTAGAGAGTGATAAGGTGTCTGTCCTGTCCCCTCCCCGAGCCTTCTCCAGACTAAACCTCCCTCAGCTGTTCCTCATCACGCTTTGCTCCAGGCCGTGCACCAGCTCTGTTTCCCTTTGGACGCACAATGACTCGGGTTGATCTGTTGCACTGTTCCTACAAGAGAGTTTAGCCCCAGCCGACACATAGGAAATGGCTCATGTACTGCAGCTTCTCACCGCCCTCATCACTACACTGAAGTGGGCTCTAGAGCGTTTCTCCCCTAGCTCAGAAGCAAGGCCCGTGCTGTCAGTGTACCTGTCCCTCAGCCTGTGTGCACAAAAGCACTGATTTCTTTTCAGCACCTTTGAAATTCTCAGAGATTAAGCTTCCTTTGGTAACTGAGGAGGGAACAGCGCAGGATTCAAGCACTAGAACAATTTTCAAGCGTGTGGATTTCTTACGGAAATCAAAACCCTCAAAATATGCAAGGTTCCAAAGGGACAAGAATTTCACAATAGCACAGAGGAAAATCTTTGTACGTGAAGTCATGAGCTGGTTTTAGGCGTGGAGAAGAGGTCAGGATTGCTGCTACTATGATGTGAACTCTTCAACCCTGAGCTAGACTCGAGTCACTGCTGCAGCTCAGCTGGCACCTCACAAAGGGGCCACTGCCTGGCTTATTTAGGAATGACTTGAAGATGGAAACCAAGGGGCCTGGTCTGTGTCTGCAGCCAAGTACTTCTCACAGAGACTATTGTGGTTCCACACTGAAGGTCCTCTCTGATTATTTCAGGAGTTAAGGTGCTGGGTTATTCCGCTCCCAATGCAGCAGTACAGGATAGAGGAGGCAATAGGGATACCCATCTCAGACCTGGGAGGGCTGTGACATTGCTGCAGGTAACTCTTGAAATGTCCCCTCACACTTTGCAGTGTTGTTCCTGAACTGTTACCTGGGCAGGAAGAGGAGTCTTGATGCTTCCTTTAATAAAAAAAATGATGCTGCTGTGATTAAAGAATATTTTCTATCCCAGAGAACTAAAAAGCAGTTCAGAGAAGGCTCCAGGGAGATCTTAGAGCAGAAATCTGGAGAGGGACTTTTTACAAGGGCCTGTAGGGACAGGACAAAGCGTTGCTTTAAACTGACAGAGGGGAGATTGAGCTATAGGATGAAATTCTTTACTAATGAGGGTGCTGAGGCGCTGGCACAGGGTGCCCAGAGAAGCTGTGGCTGCCCCATCTCTGGCAGTGTTCAAGGCCAGGCTGGACACAGGGGCTTGGAGCAACCTGCTCTAGTGGCAGCGGTAGGAACTGGATGAGCTTCAAGGTCCCTTCCAACCCGAACCATTCTGTGATTCCATGATTAAATGCAGAGAACCACGACACCTCTGTGGAGCTGGGCTATGCAAACACTTTGTGTTGTCTGGAACATTGCCATTCTCCCTCCTCAGGCTGCCCCTCCTTGGAGCTTCACCCCTCAGCGTAGTCTCACAAACACTCTCCCAGGGCTGCAGGCTGGTTTCTTCTTTACTTTCGTTTTTTCTTTGCAAGGCTTGGAGGTGGTCTCAGGTTCCTAAAACAAAGGCCATCATTGCAGCCATTAAACAGCAATCATAGAGTCATAAAATGGTTTGGGTTGGAAGTACCTGAGTAACCCTTTAGATGGTGACACCCCCCTCCTGAAGCATGATCCAGCCTCAGATACCAGCCAGGATGGACTATCAGTCACTGCATACGCATCGTGGAAGTACTCGGGGATCAGTCCACCTCCTCTACTTAACAGGAAGATGATAAAGAATATTGTTGTTTCTTTGCCAGGGTACAAAAAGAAACTGGTACCCTTAATAGCACTGTCAGGACACGAAAAAGGATACTGTCCACTCCTGTCCCCCAGTCTAAGAACTGCTGGCACATTTATTCCAGTATTTGGAATACTCACTCTGGAGCAAGTCCAAAGGAGGCTGCGAAGATGCTGTGAGGGCTGAAGGAGCTCAGCTCTGGACAGTCTAGGAGAGCTGGGCTGGTTCAGCCTGGAGAAGAGAAGGCTCCTTAAGGGGAGACCTGAGAGCAGCTCCAGTGCCTAAAGGGGCTACAGGAAACCTGGAGAGCGGCTTTGGACAAGGACCTGTAGGGACAGGACAAGGGGGAATGGCTTTAACCTGCCAGAGGGGAGACTGAGCTGAGCTCTTAGGCAGAAGCTCTTCCCTGTGAGGGTGCTGAGATGCTGGCACAGGGTGCCCAGAGAAGCTGTGGCTGCCCCATCCCTGGCAGTGTTCAAGGCCAGGCTGGATGGGGCTTGGAGCAACCTGCTCTAGTGGCAGCTGTCCCTGCCCATGGCAGGGGTTGAAACTGGATGAGCTTCAAGGTCACTTCCAACACAAACCATTCCGTGATTTCCCATCACAGTGCCTAGCAACGAGCAGCAGTAGCCTCTGTCCCACACACTGGGGGTGTTCGTGTCACACTCACCATGGGGGGAGCAGGAGAGCTGTATTGTTTCTCCTGTTTCTCCAGGCTCGCTCTCAGTTGGTTTATCTTAGCACGGCACTCATCCAGCTGACTCTCCAGCTTCTCCCGCCTCACTCGCTCATATTCCAGCTGAGCCTCCAGCTCCCTCAGAGCCCTGCAGAAAGCAAACGCAAGGAGTAGGGTGCGAAGCGCATCCCGACCTGCCCTGGCCACTCCATAGGGTCCTGTGCCTTTGCTGAGGAAGAGGTTAGTCACAGCAGAGAGCAGAACTCCTCACAGCAGCTGTGCTGGGGTACGCTCCTGGCTCAAACCCTTAGTAACAGCTCTGAAGAGCTGGTTCCTCCCTCGCTGTCAGCCGTGCTCAGCGCAGTGTGACCACGAGATGGAGATGTCTTCCCGCAAACCGAGCCTGTCAGCAGGACCTTGGGCAGGCTATAACCCTGCTCCCTCTCCAGCTGTGGGCGACGGAGAAGTGCACAAGGAGCACAAAGATTAGTGTGAAACAGCAAAAAGGAACTGAACTGGGATTCTGGAAGGGGCAGGGGCAGCTTTTTTGTCCTGGTGCCTCTACAGCCTTCCTAGTGGTTGGCTTAGCCACAGATGAGGAATACTCAAATGACAGCCCGCACGGAGCCCTGTGTTCTGCTCTGGGGCAACATCACAAGAGGGACGTGGAGCTGCTGGAGTGAGTCCAGAAGTGGCCATGAAGATGCTGCGAGGGCTGGAGCAGCTCTGCTCTGGACAGTCTAGGAGAGCTGGGCTGGTTCAGCCTGGAGAAGAGAAGGCTCCAGGGAGACCTTAGAGCAGTTCCCATGCCTAAAAGGGCTACAAGAAAACTGGAGAGGGGCTTTGGACAAGGGCCTGTAGGGACAGGACAAGGGAAATGGCTTTAACCTGACAGACGGGAGATTGAGATTAGGTATTGAGAATAAATTCTTCCCTGTGAGGGTGCTGAGACACTGGCACAGGGTGCCCAGAGAAGCTGCGGCTGCCCCATCCCTGGCAGTGTTCAAGGCCAGGTTGGACAGGGCTTGGAGCAACCTGTCCCTGCCCATGGCAGGAGGTTGGAACTGGATGAGAGTTCTCTTCCAACTCAACCAATCTGTGATTCTGTGACACTGACTAAAGGGAAACTAAAGCACTGGCTGCTAAACAGTTGCACAAGATCTCATCAGTCACACCCACCACAGCTCCTAAATTAACTGTGATTCCTGGAACTGGTTTGCTGAGACATAATTCATGCATATTTTTACTACATAAGATACTGACCTCAGCAACTGAGTCATCTGGAGTTGAGCTGCTCTCCTCTGTATTGGGATGAACTAGCACAGCTACGACCATAGGAGCTTGGTAAAAGGAAAGGGAGACGTCTGCCCTGTGCATTCATAGAAACACAGACTGGTTTGGGTTGGAAAGGACCTTAAGATTATGCAGTTCCAACCCCCTGCTATGGGCAGGGACACCTCACATTTTGCCCAAGGCTCTGTCCAACCTGGCCTTGACCACTGCCAGGGATGGAGCATTTAAATATACTACAGTGGCCTTCCCAAGTGGCAACTCCTGCTTTTCATCCAGAAAAATGGTGTTGTCACTAGTTATTTTGAAGTAATGAGGTTTTCTGCCACATGACACATGTCTCTTGGGATTTATCCACACGTGGGTGCCCTGAGAAGGGGAGGTGGGTACACTGAGAGGTGCTATTCCCATTTCAAAAGGCCAGTGTGGAGCTAGGGATGTTTTTAGCCTCCACAGGTCAGAGACCCTTCAGAGAGCCCCACAATTTTCCTAGTTTAGCCACACATGCCACAGAAAGCAAAATCCCTTAAAGAGCCTTATCAGAGCCCTCTAACAGGCACTGACAGCTTCTGAGTAGCTGCTCTTTCCAAAATGAACTCTAACTACTGCCATTAGTCAACAGTGACCTTTTCCGTCACTGCAGACAGATTGTTCTGACCTTCCAATGCAGCATCAACATCAACCTCCTTAAAGCCAGGAGAGACAAGCCTCAAGGAAGATGAAAGATCTCATCCTGAAGTACATGTCAAATTATGCCTGGAAGTGCCTACATCTCTCCAAGAAGT